CCCCAAAACCCCAAAACCCCAAAACCCCACATAGTTGAATTAATTTAGATAAAGCCTTGATATATATTTATAAATTAAACTTAAATACAAAATGAGTGGAGCATTCAAAAAAGGAACTAGCAGTCATTCATCCTTACTTTCATTTTTATCTGATGCAGATAACACATAATTTCAGCATGATGATGATATTGATAATATATCTTAATCTGAAAAATCTAGTGTAACTGAAGAGACTAAATCTCAAAAGGGCTCAAAATCGAAGTAGAATGCAAATAAAGGATAAGCATTTTAGATAAAAATAGACAGAGATTACCTTAAATGCAAGGATCAAAAGAAAATCACTCTAAAAATTTAAGAGGGTAAATATATTTTCCCCCATATTATTGTGTAGAAATTATATTACTGTCAGATGAAGTTATTAAAATAAATGAGTATGAATGGGGGCAAAAAAGAGGTCTTCTTATTACAAGTGCGAAAGTTCACAATCTTTCAAAGGTCGATATTAAAAGATCAATAATGCTAAAAGATTTACTTGGTGTGACCATTACAACGGAAGATGAAGATGGTGAGTTCGTAGTGCATGTTTAATCTGACTATGATTATAGATATATATCTTCCAGGTATTTCTAATCTGATCTGATAATAAATTTAGACGATATGAGATTCTAATGGTGTTAAGATATGCATTTTTCAAGTAAACAGGAAAAAATCTTGCTATCTATGGAGTAAAAGTAAAAAATCTGTAGGACTATAGGACTTAGAAAAAAGATAGTAAGAGAGGATTTAGCAGAATTCCTGGAGAACCTTATAGAATAGATTCTTTGTTAGAAACAGACTATTTTAATGAAGATATTAAAAGCTAAGGAGCTCTACTTGAATAGCAAGTCTCATCGTAAAATGAAATGATGGGCATTAAAGAATAATACAGAATTAAAGAAAGTTAAAATAGTTAAGAAGAGACGAAATCCTATTCAAGAGATTAAAATAATTATTCTTAAAATATTACAAAGACAAGCATCGAACAAAAATCTGACTCGTACAATCCAGATTTATTAAATAATCAAAAGGTATCAATAAATTTGGGCCGATCTAAAGGAATAATGAAATAAGAAGAAAGCAAATCTAAACAAAATGGAAAAAATAAAGATAAGGATGATATGTTTGAAACTCAAAGTATGACATCAAGCATATTCTAAGATGCTATGAGCTATACAAATGATTAGAAAAGTATTTTTAGCCAAAACTAGCAACAGTATTATTATGAAGGTGAATTCGAAGAACTATCAGACATCAATAGTGATATATTATCTGAGAGAAGTGGTAGATCCTCAACGATTTTATCTAAATCTTCATCGGACTCCTATAAATTAGAGGATTTTTAAACTCTCAGAATCATTGGACAAGGATCCTATGGCAAAGTATATTTAGTAAAGAATATTAAAAATGGTCTGCTATATGCTATGAAAATTTTGAGGAAAGATAAATTAGTAGATTAGAAGAATATTCACACAGCTTATATTGAAAAAGAAATATTGTAAACTGTAAGATTATAACTTAATTATAATGTGTTAATTAGAGTGAGCATTAATTCATTATGAAACTGGAATATCTTTTCTAAAATGATAAAAGAATTTACTTCCTTATGAAATTTGTTGAAGGTGGTGATCTTTATAGACACTTGCAAAAGAGAGGACGCTTTAAAGAGAAAGTTGTATAATTTTATCTTGGACAAGTTTTACTTGCTATTGGATACCTACATTAAAATAAGATTTTATACAGAGATTTGAAACTTGAAAATATCCTTCTCAATAGAGATGGCTATATTGTAATATCTGATTTTGGATTGTCTAAGATTTTGTCTGATCCAAAGGATCAAGCCTTTAGTGTAGTAGGCACAGCTGCTTATGTAGCACCAGAGATATTAAAGCAAAAAGGTTATGACAAAACAGTAGATTGGTGGGCTTTTGGTATATTAATGTATGAAATGCTACATGGAATTCCTCCTTTCTATGACAAGAATTTGTATCTAATGTTTGGAAAAATATAAAACGACTCTTACTAGCCTTAATACAGTGATGATCTTTCAGAGAACGCAAGAGATCTGTTAACTCAGGTAAGATTTATTAGATTTTATATTGAGATATAGCTATTACAAAAAGATCATACAAAAAGATTAGGATACAAAAATGACATGAATGATATAATGCAACATCCTTTCTTTAGCGATTTAAAATTCAAAAAGCTTGAGTAAAAAAAGGTAAGTAATATTTTAATAAGTGATAACAATTGTAGATAAAACCTAAATACAGGCCAGATATTAAGCCTATCGATACAAGCATTATACCATATAGAGAATCTGACGTCTCAACTGATATGGCCTCTTTCTAGAATGATTTTAAAAAATTAACAGTAAAAAAATGAATATTATTAAAATCTGACTTCATTTTTTGATTTTTACTTAGTATCTAGGGGTTTTGGGGTTTTGGGG